CCCCCCCCCAGCCCCCGGTTGGGGGGCTGCAGGGACTCGGAATGGTGTTGAAGTTGGGCTGAGTGCCTGCGGCTAGGAACTGGGGGAGTTTCTCCCCTGTAAGTAGAAGTGGGAGACGCTGGGAGCAGCGACGGAGCAGCAGCGGAGACAGCAGCGTCCGAAGAGCAGTGGCAAAGAGCCAACTGATAAGGACCAAAAGGAGCAACACAAGCCGGTATGCAGCTAAGGCAGACACAGAGGTGTCTGAGGAGAAGGAAAAGCAGCAACAGGACAAGAGAACCAAGCCAGCAGCAGGAACAGAGTTTTGCGGGGTAAGAACTGGATAAACCAAAACCCCCAAACTCGCTAGAGACCCCTCAGAGAAAGAGGAGGGGGTGGTGGACTGAGAGGAGTCCTAAAGTGCAGTATGCACTGCTGAGAGGAGCTAGGAAGCTCATGGCCTCCTGAGAGATAAGCCAGGACGGCCGAAGGAATGTGTGTGTGTGGGGGGTGACCTTGGCCCCCCCTGCTCCAGCTTCAGAGAAGCTGGCAGCCATCTTTGAGGCAGAGCATGGGAGCTCTGCACAGGGGCTTGATTTCCCCTGAAGATACCAGACTGTCACGAAGACCCCCGTGCTTCGTGATATGACCGTGGTGGAACGACCTTGTCTGGGGTTACGTAGTCCACGGAAAGACCCCCGTTTGAAGACGGAGGGCCGAGGGGCTTGGAGACCCCCTCGTGTGTGCTGGCAGAGAGCCAGCAACTGCTTCTGCTGCCTGGAAGAGAAGAAGAGAGCCTGCTGCCTAGAGAGAGCCTGCTGCTGACAGACTGGAAGGGGTCTTTTCTTCTTCTTCTCTCCTGGACTTTTATTTGGAGGGAGAAGAGATTTGGCCCATTGTAAATATTACTGTCATGGTAGAGATAGATATAGAGTTAAGATTGTATGCAGTGTATTATAGTATTTATTTATTTGTATAGTCTTTGTAATATATTCCTTCCCCCATATTGAGTCTCGTGTTTTTGTCTGGAAAACCCATCTCACATGGGGTTGAGATGTGGGAGGGGGGCTAGGAATCAGAATTGGATTTTGGGCCTGCTCAAACCATGACAAGTTCAGAGAAAAAAGCAATTCAGTTTAACTTATCTAGACTTTCAATTTTTTCTACCTAGGTCACCCTATTATTGTCATTTGTATAAGCTTTGGTGAACAGTGGATTTGATCCATATAAAACTAATGAAGTGCCTTTTCCTCATAGTTTATGGCGACCATAGATAAGAAATTGCATCACAGGGAATTGACAAAATTGTGGGTATTGCATTTTTAAAAATGCTTTGATAAAACAACAATATTTAGCAAAGATTTCAAAAAACAGGTGCTAATAATCTACCTAAAATACAGGTAGGATAACTGAGTGTGCTTTTTTTTTTTTCACTTGAGGCCAGTCCACCAGATGGGAACTTTGCAGCTGTTTTTCAATACCATAAAGCCAGGGAGTAAATACAAAATTTCAAAACACAAAGTAATCAATTCCTGTCTAATATCTCTCATCCTAATGAGAAAAGAATCCAATTAAAAGTGTAGTATTTCTAAGTTCAGTGAAGAGCCAAAGGAGGCACAAGGAAATGCACACAGCTGTGTCTTATGTGTGTAAATTAATGTTACTAAGTACCCAAAATTGCAGAATTTTTCCTATAACATGGAACCTCTGCTTCCTGACATCTGACCTCAAAATCTAATATATGCTGTACAATATAGCCAGATAAGAGAAAAAAAAAAATTCCTTTGGTGAACTGACTTGTAAAATAAATAAACATGACTTCGACTGATGCTCTCAATGTCCTCAGGGGCAGATCTAACGGGGTACTGGTTTTTATTTTTGGGGGCAGGATACTTGCTTCATGGCTGTAATGTCTTTTTCACTCAGAGATGCTGTTTAATCCAGTGTAGGTTAGCTCTAGAAACAGAGCCCTTACTGGTATATTTAATTAATCCAATCCACTTTTATATTTTTAAAGGCATATCTATTTCTATTCTAGTAGCTCTAGAGAGATGCTTCTCATCTACTTAGAACTTCCAGTAAGATTGCCAGTAGGTGCTTTATCATCTATTTGCATGTTTTTTCTACTGTCTTAACTAAGACACTCTAAACCCTATCAAATTAGTCATTCTTCTCCATGTTCTCCTCAACTGAGCTTTTTCAGAATAGTTGAATTATGTGTTAAAATATATTACTTGTAGGTAAAATGGTCTG